CGGTAGGACGCGGAGCTCAAGAATCCACTTTTCCTGCTCATTAACCTGAGGTGTGGGGGCGGGGGGGAGGCTGCTCGCTGCCGACAGGTATCGGTCCTCCCCTACCGGCTGACCCCAACATTTTATTTAGGTTTCTGCTGCTCCACGTCCCTTCTTCAGAGCCATCTGTCTGCACCACGGACCCCTCCCCATGACCCATCCCGAAACCTGCCCCATTCTTCCTCCTCGGGCGCAGCAGCACCTGGCTGCCCGGCGCGCCTGGGCTCCGCCGCGGGGCGCGAGCTCCGCAGAGAACCGCGTCGGATTCCCCGCCATCCAGTGCCGCCCTCAGGGCTCGCGGCGAAGGCTGCAGAATGAACGCCCACAGGAAGCCTTCTTCCCCACTTTGCGAACCAGCCACAGTGCAAAGCAGTCACGGAACAGATGGACAGGGTGGGGCAACGTGGGTTTAGAGCTGCCCGTATGGAAAAGGCTACGATAATTAATAAATAATACAAGGATAAAGTCCGTCGTGTGCTTACAACTGTACACCTACTTTTGCCCCACCCTGTCCATAGTGATGAGCTGCAAAAGATACATGACTGTGGTGTAGGGAGGAAGGATGAGCTCCTACAGTATTTTAAATATCCAAGGAGGTTCACAGGCGCCTATTGTGTTGAACCACGTGAAAAAATGACTTGGATACTTTAAAAAAAAAAAACTTAAGTTGAAAAGGGAATTTAATGTCATAGTATCTTTACAGTAATTTTCTTTTCTTTCTGTCTTTTTTTACATTTGAAAAGAACAAGTTGCAGTACTTGCTTTGGGATGTCCCTGAAGCTGAGATGAGAGAGCAAGGGCTGTCCCCAGAGGAGGCGGGACCGAGCAAAGCAAAAGGCAGACCGGAAACGGCATGACACCTCTGCAGCCCCTTGTACTTGGAGGGTCAGAACCCAGAAAGCTGAGCTCGCACCCCGCTGGGCTGAGCTGACCGGGCTTTTGGAGGACGTGGTAGGAACTGCTCTCTCCCTGGGTGTGGGCTGTGGGCGGTCCCCCAACCTGGGAGGAATCAGCGTGAGGTTTTGGTGCCACCTAGACCTCAAGGTGGCGATTGCAAGGAGCGTGGGGAGCACTCCGGAGAGCACTCAGGCTGCTCTGGTGAGCTGGCTACCTGGCGTTCAGAGTGGAAGCAAAGCCCAGCTGGTGGTCCCTGGGCTTGGGGATTTCTTCTGGCTGAATCCTGGGCGGCAGGGCCCACATGGGGAGGCTCTTCCTGCCAGATGAGCACAGTCTGCTGCATCCCGGGTTCCACTTGGCCTCCATAAACGTGCGTGTAAGTGCCAGCTAAGCAAGGGCTGCACCAAGTAAGGGTGTTTCCAAGGAGGGATCAGGGCAGACCAGAGGGAGAAGGGCACTGGGCCAGGGGCCAAAGGCTGCTGGAGGCCATGGGGTGACTTCAGTCCTTGGCTGAGGCTCGTGCCTCCACCCAGTCTGTTCTCTGTGCTGGCTCAACGGGGCTGTTTAACACCATTCCACAGTCTCACGAACTGTTGACTCCCCGCCCCCCCAACCCCCGATTCCTAGTCTTCTTTTTATTATTTTTAAAAAAATATTTTTATTGATTTCAGAGAGGAAGGGAGAGGGAGAGAGTGATAGAAACATCAATGATGAGAAAATCACTGATCAGCTGCCTCCTGCACGCCCCACACTAGGGATCAAGCCCGCAACCCAGGCATGTGCCCTGACCAGGAATCAAACCGCGACCTCCTGGTTCATACCACTGAGCCACGCTGGCTGGGCCTTGTCTTCTTTTTCTATCCTAATACTTATTCCTGCCCAGCCACCCTGGGCCCCTTTCGGAAGTGCTACCTTTGGTGCCGGTGCCTGGCGGACGGAAGTCCCACGAACCTGGGTTAGATCCAGCTCTGACCCTGTGTGTCTGTGTGTGTTTTGTTCCCACACAGTGTAAGCTCCTTAATGTCCGCCTGTCTAGTCTTTGGGTCCCTTTTCCATAAAATGGGCATCATAACTAATGGTGGGCACCACCCCCCATGCTGGAGTGAAGGGGCTGCCACGTGCAATGACATCAGGGGCCTCCTCTCTCAGGGAGACTTCCCGCCTTTCTCTCGCCTTGGCCTTGGAGCACCCCAGGCCAGTCCTCTGCCCTCTTGCTCCCTGGCTGAGAGGCGCTGTCAGAAAAAGCCACTAGGGCCCGGCTGGTGTGGCTCAGAGGTGGTTGAGCGTTGACCTATGAACCAGGAGGTCAAAGTTCCATTCCCGGTCAGGGCACATGCCCAGGTTGCGGGCTCGATCCCCAGTAGGGGGCGTGCAGGAGGCAGCCGATCCATAGTTCTCTCTCATCATTGATGTTTCTGTCTCTCTCTCCTTCTCCCTTCCTCTCTGAAATCAATAAAAACATTTTTTTTAAAAAAGGAAAAGCACTAGGATTACAGCTGGACCTTCCCTCGTTCCTCACTGCTGCCCTTGCGGAGTTCACACAAATTGTCCCAGACCGACCATCTTCTCTTGACATGTGTGCCTTCGCTTCCTCTCGTCCCTGAAGGTGCCATCTGCAGGCACCACATTTGCCTCAGCAAATCCAGCCTCTCTCCTCCCCCCGGAAGTGAACCCTTCCTTCCCTATCTGCTTCCCATTCTCATTGCCGCAACTGCCCTGTCTTTCCCAGCACCCCGACGCCCTCCCTTGCGAAGATCCGCAGTCCTGGCACCCTGTTCTCACTGCCTGTCCAGCTCCATTTGACCGCCCGTCCTCACCATCAAATCAGGGTGAGCGGACAGATGTCATCTAGGCCCCCAAAGGGCAGCCCTCCCCAGCTGTCCACCTCCACCGTAGCCCCTTCGTGGCCTAAGCACCTACCCCGTCCCATGCCAGGCGCCGAGGAGGGCACAGCCTCTGCTCTTGGGAGAGGGCTGGGCTGAACAGGAAAGGCAGTGGGAGCCCCGAGGGGCGGAGGCTGAGGAAGGAAGTGCTGTGGGGAAGGGTCCAGCGGCTTCACCCACTTGGACTAGAGGTACTGGGGGGAGGGGGGTATGGGCTGGAGGCAGGAGGGGGCCTTAGACGTGAGCTCTGAGGCGGTAGCACCAGTACAGACAGGGAGGAGGTGGAAGCCAGGAGCCAGAAGAGAACCCCAAAGCTCTCTGACTGGCTGGCGTGGGGGGAGCGATGGAGCCAGCTGTCCAAGAGGCATGGCCCCGGGTGGCTGGGCCAAGACGCGCCAGGAGACCATGGTTCAGCCGTTATGTCTCTTTGTTCACTTGCTTTTGCCCAGAAATACTAGTAGCGGGGTCTTGGCTTGTTATGGGGCTGCATAGGAAGCACAGTCTTTCACTTGGAGAGGTAAAGAGCCCATTTAGATGGTTCTGTCCCCTCCCCACGCTCCCCCCTCCCCACTCATAGACACCGCCACCAGCAGACCCACTGCCTGGGTGTCTCCAGGCCCCACAGCGGTTCCCCTGCGGAGCCAGGCCTGACAAACAGGACAAACGTGAAAGTCCCAGCCTCTCTCTCCAGAAGCCCTGGGACCCTCTGTCTGTCCTGCCTCTGCTCTGTCTACACAATAGTGAAGAGGAGGCCCACCCTTTCCTGTGGCTTTGCCCAGCACTCCCTGTCCTCAGCGTGTCTTCCTGCTCTAGTCCTCCCAGGCACTCCCCGCCGTGTTTTCCTGGGAGGTGGCGCAGTGTTGGTGACTTCATCCATGTTCACCCATGTGCGGGGCATGGCATCTTCTGGGCAAGATTTGCTGCCACTGTGGGCCCCGGGCTTGTCCCCACAGAGGTCTACGTGGGAGCCTCCCTGTGGCGGGCCGTCCCTGATCCAGAAGACACCGCGGGAAGGGAATGGGCAGGAAAGCCTTTAGGAATGCCAGGAGGGTGACATGCTCGGGGCAGAGAGAGGAAGGGGAGGTCGGGTCAGGCTCTGCCCTGAGGGACACAGAACACATTTGGAAGTAGATGAGTTGTGTCTTTGGCCACCTTGCACTGGCCCCTTCCTCCCCATTCCTGATGATCCTCCTGCCTTTGCTAAATACCCCCCCAATTTTATAGGTATTGTGAGTACCCCGGGCTCTATCTGTAATATCTTTGAGGCAGGGTGCGTTTTTTTGTTTTTTTTTTTACTTCCTTCCTACAGGATTCTTTCCCCGACTGTACACACCCTCACCTAGGGTCACGTTCTGGAGGGCAGCTGCTTATACTTCCACCTTGGCAGAGAAGTTGAAGGCAGGAGAAGCACGGAGTGCCAGGAAGGGCCCCCACAGCCCTGTGAGCTCACAGAGCTGGCCTCGCCCTTTGGTGCCCCCTAAATGTCTGCCTCCTCCACTGGGCTCCGAGTTCCCAAGGGATGGGCTGTGCCCCGCTCCACGTCTCCACACCTGTCCCTGTGTCTGCACACAGCAGGCCCCATAAACATAGGGGGCAGGAAATGACAAAGGAAATGCCTTTGACTCTTAACAGACTTTGTGCCATGAGAGCCAGGGCCCTAAGGACTGGTAAGCAAATCATGGCACATCCACCCATGGAGCACTAACCACACAGCTGTGAAAAGTGAAGCAGAGTGAGGCTGATTTGGGGAGGTTCACAAACCTTAATTGTTAATTGAGAAAAAAGAAAAACACAGAACAGGTGCTACGCCAATTTAGAAAGAGAATGAGCGTGAGAGAAAGGCTGATGTGTGCATGGAAGCCTCTCTAAGTGTATATATAAGAAACTGAGAATAGCCCTAACCGGTTTGGCTCAGTGGATAGAGCGTCAGCCTGAGGACTCAAGGGTCTGAG